TTACCGTGCAAGCCCTTCAGGCATTCCCAGCTCAGAGCAGAAGTTTTCAAGGTAAAAAACATAGAGAGAGAACATGGTAGAAGCTGGGACAAGGATCAGCAGCAACTCCAGGCGTTCAGGCAGATCTGACTTTGATTAATTAGAGAGCTACTTTTCCATTTCCACATGTACTGCCTGATGGAAAGGTAGAGTGGACCGGGATACACAAACTTGGAGTTGACTCTGTTAGATATCAGCAGGTTTTGACGTCCTCTGCAGAGCTTGCAGGATAGCTGCTTGGCAAGAGTAAATTGCTGGAGCACACTTTTAATTTATTCCTTCTCTTAATGCCGAGAAATTGCCTGAACTGAAATAGATTTGATTTTCATCTGTGAATAACCCAGTTACTGTAAATGTTTATGTTACGTGAACATGCAACGACAGTATTGTATAATGAAGGCTCAGTTATTTGACTGTTTTGTATTTTGTATGAGTTTGTTAAATAAGTACTTGATTTAAACTGCGTAAGAGATTAAATGCCTTCCATCACCATGTAATATCACAGTATAGATAATTTTTAAGCTATTCTTAAAATGTTTTACAGATAAGATTTGTTCAAAAAACCTTGACTGATTATCTTTTCAAAGGATTTATTTGTAAAGATAACTTTTATAAAATGTTCTAAAACAGATCCAAATACATGTTGTCTATTCTTTTGAAAAACAAATTTCTAAGGAAAAAATATTAAAATTATTGATTTGTGAAGAAATCCCTAGTTGTTACAAATAGATACACAGCTAATATAATTAGGAGGGTTTAAAGAAGGTTATTTCAAATAGCATTGGTTACATAGGCTGCTGGTGCAACCCTTCATTATTAATTAGTATTGCAGAATAAATTTAGAAGACACACTCATCTCACTTTGAACCTTTGAACTTCCTTCTTAAAACTTTCTTCTCTTACCATGTACAGCTTCGCAACAGTTCAGACTGCTACTCATCCAGCGTGGGGCAGAACACCTGCTGGCAGGTCCAGAGTACAATCAACTCTCTGTGATGTTAATTGATACTGATTGGTATCAGTCTCACATAGGATCAGGCCTTAAGAGAATAACACTTCGTGGATTAGAGGTTTATTTACCACTTCACTGAAATCCTGTGTGTTTTTTCAGGATTCTATGTAGCAGATTTATTGTTATTATAATAAACTGCTATTGATGTATTGACCTGCACAGCTTGTTATTACAGAAAGAAAATGTTGTCATACAGGGAATTTGCTTCCTGAGAACTTTGTTTTCACGATTTACTTTCATCGCAGTTTGCTGATGACTCAGTCCAAATTGACCTCTGTGGCTACTGACCACATTTCTGAGGCTGTTCTTGATTCTAAGGGAAAATTTCTGCCATCATGGATGATAATCCATGTAATAATTATCCAGGTATTATGTGGCTACCAGCTCTTGCTGTTAGATTCATGGAAGTGATATGGAAGCTTATTAGTCTGCTCACTAACTCCTTCTGCCACGCTCTTAATATAGGAATAGTTTTGTCAGTTTTGTTCTGCAGATCAGCTGGGAAAGACAAATGTCTTGGAATGGAGCTTACACAACTATTCCTGTTGTCTTCCCTGTCTGCATTCAAACATACATATCTGGTGGTCCTGATAAGTATCATACTATCTGTCCCACAAAAACTGAAAGCAAGGCCAGAAAGGAGTGCTCATGAGAAGGGATTTGCTCAATAACTAAATGTAAGATAGCGCTGAGAGCCATTACTCCAGCTCCTGGCACAGAGAAACTCTATAAAGGAGCTTACTATGGAAAAGAGGCAGGCGTAAGGAGCTGCGGAGTTGTCCTCAGTGTGACATGACAACCACAGATGATTTCAAAACAGAAAGTGGAGTAATTTTGGAGACAGGAGATGCCAGTTCATGTAAAAATGGCTATTCATAGGGGTCTCTCTCCACAACTTAATGTTATTATCAACCTGTATCACATTTCAAGTATTAAATATCACAAAACTACTCTTTCTGATTGCTTGGACCCAGGGGTCCAAATTCAGAGGTGGTATGTAAAACAATGATTAGGTAGATCAGTCATGTAAATTTTTTTGTAGATTTCATTTAAGCTGTCCTGAGCACTCACCACATAGTTACCTACATATAATTAACCTTTATGATGCAAAACTAGAAGGAAGTGTATGTTCAAGTCAAAAGTGGTCTTATTTTGACTCTCACACATCTGCAGCCTTCCACATTATGGTTTTCTTCCTAAATTCCCTCTTTTGGCTCCATCATGCTCTTACACTAATATCGTCTCTCTTACACTTGTTAGAGTCAGTGGTGATGCATACTGGAAAGAAGCAAGAGGAAAATTAGTCATTGTAAATGTAAATTCACTAGAAAGTGGAGCGTCATGCACACATTGACAAGTCTGCATAAAGGCATATATTACGTTTTTATCCAATTGCTTGACTTATTTGGACTCAGACCTGAATTTACTCTCCAGTGGACTTTATTCAGCATCAGATGCAAAGGAGAATTCTGTGATATACTTTTATTTAGCTTTTGTAATGAGCAGTGATGATCCAAACTGTCACAAATTATTAACTGAATTCCAGACCTCATGGATCCTGGTAGACAATGCTATTCCTGGGAAATATTGCTCCTTAGAAATGATTCTTCCTACTGAAGAGTCAGAAATGGACCCAAACTATAGTTTTTATTATCTAGAGAGCAGTATATTTCAGGTAACAGCCTAGAAAACCCATGAAGAACTGACTGGAAATGAGTAGTGAAAAAACCCTGATATTCACCAGAAATTTCTTTGGCTTTTTTGCCTCTTGGTGTTCAAGCCTCATTGATGGATGCACGGAATGTAGAGTTGTTTGTAGAGATATTCCAGTTGAGGTCAGTACGAAAGTGTTTGTTATGATTCGCAGATAGGAAGCCAACATACAGATGAGGGATGACTTGCCAAGGAACACAGATCTACCCTTAGTGTGCCTGGCTGGTGCTGGGAGGAATCTGCATTGGGCAGACACAGACTGACAGCATCAGCCATTGAATAACACAGATTGATTGGAACTCCTGTTGCACCAAGCGCTGCTGAGGGGAGCTGTATCTCTGTTAAGTACCCCCCACATGTGGAAAATAGAGAAGTTTTATGCAGAGATGGGTAGTTTCTTCCTTATTTCTGTATTTTATATCCTATCAACAGAGAAGCTGACCAGTTAATTCTAAATCAGGGAAAAATTATAGAAAAATCAGAAGACCCTCTACATAAGGTCTTAGAGGCATAAACGTTATCTGTAGTACTTCATTCTTATTTAACTGAGGGAAGTAAATGTTATAAACACTAAAATTTGGGGGAACAATGCAGAGATTAGAAATGTGTTTTAACACAGTCAGGGATGATGGTGGTTTATCAGAAATATCATTCATTTTTTTCTATTTCTTTTGCTCAAGTCCCATCGGCATAGTTGTCTAAGAGACTGCTTTGATATTGATATGTTAGGGAGGAGCAAGTGCAAGCAATAATGACTTGGATAAGTTTCTGCTATTTGAATTTGCTAGAGATTAAACAGTGCTATAGCTCAGGACAAGCTGATCACATTTCACTGTTTCCCCATGCTCCCCAAATGCTGATTTACCAACAATGAAATGCCTGTACACATACTCTGGAGCATGTGTTAAAGCCATGCAAAACATTTTCCATGTAACTTCCAACCTGGCAATATTTTGCCAGAAAGCCTGGTACTTAAAAATGATAAATAAATAAAACAAACAGAAACTTGTGTTGTAATAGGGAGACAATGGAACAGCTGCAGGGCATGGAGGGAATTTGACTTGACTTGATGTGGACACAGTGGCTGGATTTTACCCAAGAGATATTAACAACATTCAGATTCCTAGAGGGAAGACTGTGGAGAGGGAAGAAGGGATCTCATTGGGAGGTCTCTTAGCACGTTTGGAAAAATAAACATAGAAACGATGAAAAATAATATTTAAGCAGCAAAATCAGCATGCAGTGTCCTCCTGTAGCATGTTGAAAAACATGAACTTGTCTTGTGAAGAAAAAATAATGAACAGAGCTTTGTTTTGTTTTGTTTTGTTTGGAGAGAGAATGGGAAGAAGATGGAGGGGGCTGGAGCCTGGAAAGGCAAACTGTGTAACAAAAACAGCCACCTAGTGAAGGAAAGAGAAACAAGGAAGGTGAAGAAAGAAAGAGCAAAGAGAGTGTACCCAAGTGTGCTTCTAATGGGCGCTACTCTTTAAAGGACAGGAAAAACCCTCCAAACTTCTTTAATTATATTTGTAAGGGCAAAAGTAACACATAGCACAAATGCTTCTGTCCTGAAGACATTTTCAGTTCAAGCAAACATTAGAGCAGATCCTTGGAACCAGCAGTGGTAACTATAAGTGCAAAAGCAAAAACTACAGTAGGTGGCACCTTTATGTCTGTTTTTCTTTACCTCTCATGGGTGGGCTGTCTTTTACTTCTACTAATAGCAGTGTTCATTGCTCTTTGCCGAACATCTTTTACTGCCAGCCCACGGAGACCTGCATTATTGGTCTTCTCTTGTTGTTTAGGGACAAATCCTAGACTTCTTTCTCATACAAGGTAGTTCTAAACATTAAGGACGTGTACCTTAATGTATATTTATGTATATAGCTTTAGACACTCACATTTGAAAGCATTGAACTTAGAACTAAGTAAGGATCAGTGGCAGTGGTTAAAACTAGAGACTAAGTTTGTAAATGACACGTATGATGTGGGGTAAATCAGTCAGACTCCTATACATTGTTCTCCAGTTACTCAGCTGGTAGGCAGCAGAATTTTTCAAATTGGAAATTGTAATAGATAAAGTGAAAGTAAAATTGGGCCATGTTAGTTTATGCTCTCCTATGTTTCTACTCAAATGCAAAAGGGAAGCTAGGCAAGAATTTCTACCATAACAGTCACTCTTACTTGG